CAATTCAATTCCATTGTTGCCATCACTTCTTGGTGGTCTTATATACAAGAATACCGCACATCTAGTAAACACTCGAGCATTCAAGAACCCTCGAGAATATCATGACGTAACGATATAATATCAATGTGTTAAAATGAGTTTTCCAATAATATTTTACAAAACACATTGCATGATGTCAATCTAGGAAAAGTTCTTTGACCAAAAAAAGATGTAAGAATATATTTCGTGTTAAATTTTAAGATTAAAAAAGTCATCTGTGACAATTTTATATTATCATGGATGTCGTCGGAATATACGTCAAAACATAGTGTTCGAGCGGTAAAAACCTACCATCACAGACTATGCTGTAAAAAAGCTACAGTACAGTCAGTGGCTGATCCGGCGGATTGTGCACCTAGAAGTACTCTTGGGTAGTAGTAGAAATTAAATAACATTCACAACCTTTTACTGCAGTCCATGTCTGCTCAAACCCCGAGGCTCCTTTAATATAATAAAACACAACAAACGTCTTTACAATACAAATACTGTGTTACTGATTTAGCTTCCTGCGTTACTGTTGGGCGTTCTAAAGTGTCATGGCGACTTCAGTTAGTGGACGTGATGTGGTATTTGGAAAACATTGGTTATATGCCCTTACTTTCTGGAGGCAGAATCCTAAAGAATTCTTGTTTAACTTAGATATAAAAGCAGACACCTTTCATCTCGACGTTCTGAGAGTATGTTATTCTGTTATGTTTTGTAGTATTCTAATTTTTATTGGTAATGGTAACTAATTCAGTAATTGGTTTTCAGATAGGATTAGGAGACAAGTTATAACTTATAAATTACAGACTTTATTTTGAGTTATAACTTAAGTTATACTGGCAGTAGCGGTTACTCAGTTGCTTAGGGTAATAGTAATACTGAACAATAACACAGGCTCTAGTATAATTTTATATTCATTGTATTATTAATAGTAGGCATATATAAAGGCTATAGTTTTAAGTTTAACAGTTTTTATCATAATGTGGGATTCATCCCTGTCCACAGCTGCACAATGTCACATTGTCAGTATCACTATTAGTTTTGTCATAAACATATATCGTCTAATTTGGAAATGAGACACTATACCATAAAATACATAATATTGCGTGATTTTTATATTTTCAGTTTTTTTATTTTTTGTGTGTGAATTTAAGGAGGGCTTTTTCATAGTGTTAAAATCATGCCCAGTGCCTCTGTTGACACTGAGTATGAAGGCTGAAACAAAGAAATGGTAGAGCCTATATTATTATGGGAAACTTGTACACCTACTGTTCAAAAGGCTATATATATACAGTTGTGCACCAAATTCTTTGCATGCTCTAATCCAACTTCTCACTAACTGAATTTCTTATTAAGAGTAAAAAAATGATGTTTTTTAGCACAATGAAAGATAAAATTTTATGAGAATTTCAGCCAACTAGTTTCAGAAACACAGTTACCATCATCAGATGTTAGTTTACATTTGATGAGAAGCCCACTTGATTTTGTCATATCATTATTTGTGATATAACAAAACTTCTGTCAATATACATTTGACTGTTATTGACAATCTAACAAGAAGTATATACTGAAAAAATACCTTCAGTGAGTCTTATCTCTTTCTCAGTAGCCAAAGTGTGTAGTTTTTTTATGCAATTAGTTAATGCAACAGTTTTTCTGGCAGCTGGTATTTTACCTTTAAACTAAGACCATAAATGAAATTTGTTCAGGAGTGCTTATGGTGAAATTAAGTAAGTGGTCTGTTAAGTGTTACTCTCAAAGAAAGAAGTGTGAGCTACTCAGTTACTTAATCTGTTCAACTCATGGGCATCTGAAAATTTTTTCTGGGGTGAACAAAGTTTTCCAGGAGGGGGGAGGGCTAAAGTAGTGTGAAATTGTGAAGTGAATGAAAAATTCACACATATATATGCTGAATGAATAAAGAAAGGATTATGTTTCTCATTTTTCAGGGGGTACACTTGCCCTCCATATTCCCACAGATACCCATGGTTCAACTTTATTAGTAAAAATCCAAAATGCATTTAGTAATTACAGTATCAGATATTTATTATAATATATCCATATATATTACAAACAATTTCAGGCATAACAAGCTCCTTTATTGGCAATAGTGCAATAATTACAAATAATATTTTATTTTTTTCCCACTTTATTGTAGGATCTTTCACAGGTCTTATAATCAAAATACAACAAAACATATTATACATATAACAAAATAAAATACTAGATATGTAATAAAGGCATAGAAAATGCATAAAAATAGAAATTACAGAAGAAATTATAACTTATCACAATCAAAAGTTGTAGCTTATACAAAATGCTAAAGAAGGAGGTATATATATAGGTAGGTGTAACTTATACTGTAAATACCAAAAGAATATACTTTGTATGAAGATATATTCTATCCAGTACTATGATCAAGTAATTGCCAGGTTAAGGTGAATTATGTTAACAGAGTATGATCATTATTTCAGCTTTATACATATAACCTCTTTGTATGTCAAGTCATTCACTACCAATGACCACCTTATATTCATTCACCAGTTTGAAATACACATCATTTGTAAAGGTTTTATGTAACAAGAAACTGTGAAAACCAAGAACATTGAACACAAAGTTATGAACAACATGTGTTTGTGAAATGTAATAACATTCTCAGGCTTGTGGCTATGTACCAATATTCTGTAAGTACAAAGCATTCTGTCCAAAATGAAGATTCATATAATGTATCTCATATGTTTTATGCTATTTATTAGTTATAAAGTTCTATTACATATATAAATATATATTTTTAAATAGGATTTGTGCAATGATGAAGTTGATGATAGCTGTAAGAATTTTTTGCTTACTTTGCTGCAAGAAAATGTTACACTGTTGCTTTCTGATGAAGACAGGTAAATAACATTTGTTTCTAATGAACTTTTCTATAAGATTCTAGTTGCAGTTCAGTTTATGTTTTATTAAATCTTATTATTTTGTTAGTAATCAGTTAGACAAAATTGAAAATGTTAAAAATGTATTTGCTATTGTATCAGCAGAAAGACTTTAAACTGTGTACAATGAAATGGGTGTGCATATAAACAAGTGGCCATCAAATGTAACTGTATGTGCTGTCAATTACATGTTGAACATAGAAACCATAAAATGAAATATACATGAAATTAATCCAAAGATTGTGAGTCAAATAAATGTGACGGTAAATGTAGCATTATAAAATATATTACTGTAAAAGTTTTTACTTCAACTATCACAACTTAAACTTTTGCAAATTTTTAAAATATATAACTTAATCACAAGTCTTTAACTTTGCTTCCACAGTTGATCAGACTATGTTTTTTCTGTTACAGATTAGAACAAACTGTGGGCTCTCTACAGAGCATTTTTAACCAGTTGGCAGGAACTGAAAAAGTTCAACTGAAATGTCAGTTCTTGATTACAATAGCAACCATTTTACTTGGTGGTGAATTTGATGTGAGATTAATTTTTATATTGATAGTGTTCTGTTTAAGATTTTTTTTTGTAATGCTCTATATTACTTTTACCATAAAAGAGAACCTGTAACCTTTTAGACACTTGATTTTAAAAAAGTAAAGTTATTTTCAAATGGTTATTCATTCCAAGAAATGCAGAGCTGTGTGAGTATGATATGAAATATATTTTGGGAAATCATGTAGTGATCCCTACAATATATGTATATACCATTGTTTAGTTACATGCAACATTTAAGATCAGCAAATCAATAACTTTCAGACATTATTTAACATGCTCCTTATGCAAATGATTGTTATTTCAGCTTAAAATGCTTTGCATTTGAAATTAGTTATTTGCTTGCATTATAGTCTATGTATTTGTTTCATATAATTAAAAAGAAATAAAGATTCATGTCATAGTTTTACTTACTTAAATGATCTTTAATACCAGATTTCTTCGTTTTATTTTAACAATAGAATTCATGGTAATTTTGTTAATTAAATGCATTTATGAATATAATTGCCATTTTATCTTTTCTTTGTTAGTTCAGCTCATCTACAATCAATGGTCAATTGATTTCTTTCAAGGATCTGTTAATTGAAATTGTTTGTAATACCAAGAAAGAGGCTTCTTTGTTGCGAGGAACAGCTTGCAAATGCCTGCAAGAAATTGAAATCTCTTATCCTGTAAGTGTAAATGTGTCTAAGGAGATAAACTTTATTGGAAAATATGATATCTAATGTTATGTTATGAATAGTTAGATGTCAATTTCATTCAGAGTACCAACATCGTTCCCATGGGAAAGCTAATGACAAGCTTGAATGAATTTGTAATGGCTCTTGTCGCATAGTTACAAAACCAGAAATATTTTGAGGTAAAGGAATTTGTCTACTTGTTTTATGTTATTAGTTTATATTCTTTGGTGTATTATTTAATTAAATAAAAATTATTAAATGCATTACTGTCATTAGTATAAAAAATTAGGGTTAACTCGCTTCGAAAACTGACAGCAAGAAAAAAAGAAGATTGGTTAATTATTTTATTTCTTGTTTTTCAATGCCTTTAATGGAACAGAAGATTTTCTTGTCTCTGATAAGCTGTAGTCTTTGGTGGGGGACCAGATCACAGCCTTTCACAATGAGTTTTGAAGTCAAAGCCACTCACGAGTGTGAAGGAATTAGTGAAGACTATAACTCTGCCAAAAGGTATTGTAACTAAAAGACAATGAAGGACAAGAGCTGATAGACTGTGAAGGTGATGAAATTGAAGCAACTGTTGAAGATGAGGAATTGTGGGACAAAAAGGAAGATGGCATGGAGGAAGCTGCTCCTTCCACTAATGATGAAAAGCAAACAACTGGGCCTTACACCACCTGACAACAATAATGATGCATCCATAAATGCAGATGTCTCCTTCTTAAATGAGCTGGGAGAGTTGCTTGAAAAACACAACACCTCAAAACTATTCATTCCTCTTGTGTCAATTCTGGGACACTTACTTCAAAGTCAAGAGAAGCATTAAAAAAATAATTCTTTCTGATGCCAATATCTGCAAATTCCTAGAAGCAGGTCCCTCTTCTTGAAACCAACAAACAGAAGACAGCAGTCCAGAGCCATAAGGGAAGATAGAGACTGTTTGTGAAGGAAACATTGCAAACAACCATAGCTTCACCACAGAATCCTTTGTCCTTGTGAAGACAGGAGACCGTGTTCTACCAGCCTGCATCATTAGTGTCAATCCTTTGCCTGTCATATATTTTCTGTCACTACCAGGGCAAGGTAGACTACAAATCCTTTGACATTGTTTTCAATGTACTTCAAGAAGACATAAAGAAAATTCTTGATGATTCAAGCATTGTGTTTGGTGCATCAAGAAAAATGTTTTATAAATTTAACCTGTGAACAATCATGTTATTTACAACTAGAAATATTTTGTTCTTAAGTTTACTTTTCCTTTGGGTTGTGAGCAGATGTTGCTTAAAATTCAGATCATTTAAGTGGGTATTAATGAACAAAGAAATTTATCTTGTTTCATGCAGCAGTAATAAGTAAAATCTTATGCATTGTTACACTAAAAAAGTACAGAATAATAACTTGCATAAAACAGATGGTGTCCTATAACTATCACAATTTTTCTGGCTTTCTAACTATGTGACAAGAGCCCTTAAAATTTCAGCTAAGCTCGTTGATGTTTTTCCTGTGGAAATAAAGTTCCATCTGGAAGGGAAATAGACAACTCTCTATACAGAAAACAAAGTAATATATGTCATTTGATAGATTAAAACTTTGGCTTTCTATTATTTACAAACAGTATAGTATTAAACATCAGAGAGAACTTTTGGCAATTTCTAAAAAGAGAGGATGTGACAGGTGGGTCTAATTTTTCTATTTTATTGTCCTAATTAAATTTCTAACTTCTCGGAGCAGTGGTAAATAATTTAAAGAAGAAGAGATATCTTTAGAGCAAATGTCACATTTCTTATACTAGGGGAAACTCAGGATTTTTTTTCAAATATTGCCTTACCAATTTAGAACGTAAAACTTAAGTAGTATGAAAATTTGGGTTATTAGCTACATTTCTATGTCAAATTTGTGTGTATGCCATGATAGAAAGTAGTTTTATTAAACTTTAAATGTAATTCACTAAAGCATCGTGACATACGCAGAAAAAATTTCTATAGCGAAAGTGTTAAGATGGCACGTTTACTGAAGATTTGAGGGCTCTTACTGAGGAAGTAGTATTTAGAAAACATAGCATTATATATAAAAAAGAATAATGCTATTTTTTTCAGAATGCATGTGCTACCTATGGGGCTGTTGGTCATTCCCATTGAAAAATAATTGTTGTTGTTGTAACCTCAAGGTATCACCTGACTTGCCAGTGGAAAGGATCACTGTTCACTTATACAAGGATCTTCAACCTTAAAGAAATCTTTCCAATGAAAAAGTGCAGGTGATACCACAGGTGAATGACCCAGAATAATTGATAGTAGGGAAAAAAGGAACTTAGCTACTTTCTTGACCAACAGTCATCGTGTCTGATACTAGTGTTTGGGTATAGTGCTCACGAAACCCTGGCGTTGCTGCAGTGTCCTTGTTTGACATTGTAGTGCGTCCCCTCGTAGGACTCCATGGCGGGTGGGGTCAGTGGGCACTGAATCTCTCTCTTTAATTATGGATCCCCCCATTCCAAATAAAAAAAAAAAAATGTTAAAAATCTGCTTATTGGTAAACGACCACGCCTAGAAGACTCTGAACAGCAGTCTCCATCACACAGTACACCTGTACCTCGCTTTTTAATCATGCATACACTATCAGATAAATCTTCAGGGCAAATGTCTCCTTTTTTTATTCAGAAGGGCTTAGAGGGGCTTGCTGGCTCTTCAAAGTCAGTTAAGAAGCTACGTTCTGGAGACATCTTAGTAGAAACTTCCCACCCTAAGCACAGTGAACTTCTCTTGAATTCAAAGGGCATTGGGGATATACCCATTGAGGTTACTCCCCACGCTTCCTTGAATTCCTCACGAGGAGTTATCCTTGAGAGGGATTTGAAATCTATCCTCGAGACGGAGATCCTTGCTGGTTTCTCCAGTCAAGGAGTTTCGGCAGTTTGAAGGATCTCCACTCGTCAAGATGGAATTATGGTGCCGACCTCAGTTTTAATTTTGATGTTTTCATCACCACGTCCACCTGCCACCATTAAGGCAAGTTATTTGAACTGTAAGGTACGGCCCTATATTCCCAACCCTCTCCGATGTTTTCGGTGTCAGTGGTTCGGTCATTCAAAGACATCTTGTCGTGGTTCTGTGACATGTGCTCGTTGTGGTGGCAAGGACCATGACTTCTATGAGTGCAAAATGGACCCTCACTGTGTTAATTGTGGTGGTTCCCACCACTCCTACTTTAGGTCTTGCCCTAAGTGGGTGGAGGAGAAAGAGGTACAGCATTTGAAGACTCCAAATAATATCTCTTATCCTGAGGCTCGGAAGCTATTGTTCCCTCCTACATCACGGACATATGCCTCTGCACTACGCTCCACTGCTGCAGTGGGAGTGCAGACAGACCTTTCTGTGCCTCCATTAGAGTCTTTTTCATGTCATGTGCAGAGTCTTCTGCCCTCCATGGATAATAGAGTTGATCAATCTACATCTACTCTAATCTCTGTCCCCACTGTTCCTTCCAGTGACTGCCTGGGTCAACCAGCCTCTGGTGTCCGTGCGGGTCCTTCTTTGGCCCCTAAATGCAGGACGATTATTTGATTAAGGGTCAGTCATTGGATTCTCACTCTGATGACAGAGATTTGCCCGCTCGTTCAAAGGCAGGATCCATGGAGGTCTATTGCCCTCCATCTAGTGAAGAAAAACGGGGTGGTCGTAAACCGAAAGGTTCTCCACCCTGTTCTCCTAAACCTACATAAAAATGGCCACTTTGATACAGTGGAACTGACATTAAGGCCTTGATTGACTCCTATCATCCTGCGTGTCTCTCCTTACAGGAAACATTCCTGAAACCTGCCGATACAGTCACCCTTTGGCAGTTTTCCTTGTACCAGAATGACAGGTTGTGTGATGGGCGGGTATATGGAGGGGTGGCACTGCTGGTAGACCAGCATGTGCCCACCTTATCTGTGTCCCTCGATACACCCTTGGAGGCCATAGCCATACGTGTTTCCTTGGGTTGTGCCATCACTGTTTGTTCTCTCTACCTGTCTCCTGGGGAGACTTATGATCAATCGGACCTTGATGCTTTTGTTGATCAGTTGCCACCTCCCTTTATACTTTTGGGAGACTTAAATGGACACAACCCCCTCTGGGAGGGGTTGTTCCATAGAGCGCATGCTCTCAGATCACAATCTTTCTCTCTTCAATACTGGAACGTACACTTACTTTCATGCACCTAGTCAGTCTTTTACTGCCATTGATCTCTCAATTTACTCCCCTGCACTTTTCACTCGTTTTTCCTGGATGGTCGACAGTGATCCTCGGGGCAGTGATCATTTTCTCATCATACTGAGAGAGGTTGGCCATGGTCGATGCCACCTGACCCGAGTGCCACGGTGGAAGCTGGACCAGGCTGACTGGCCATCTTTCACCTCTTTCTCTGAACTTGATCCTGCCTTCGTCTGTCTACCGTCAATAGACGATTGTGTGATGGCAGTGACTGACTGTATTGTCCAGGCGGCTGTTTATTCTATTCGTAAGACCTCGACATGTTTTCCACGGTATCCTCGTCCATGGTGGAGTCCTGCCTGCCAGGTGGCACGGAAGGCTCAAAAACAGGCCTGGGATACCTTTCGACGGTATCCCACTCTTTCTGACCACATTGTTTATCAGCGGGCCCGTGCC